CGTGACATGGATGTTTTCCTGCAGGAATCCCATAAATAAAAGTCTATAGAATGGTGGTCGGACAGGGAGAATGCGGAAACCACGTGAGCGTACCTCCATGTTCAATCGATCTGTACGGAAAATTGTTGTTAAACCATTTGCACATTCGATGTGCAATGTGGTGAGGGGTACCATTGTGCTGAAACCGCAAGCTTCTTCACGCACAAGTACAGACACACCCTCCAATGGAAGAGGAAATATCTCTTCAAGGACATCGGTGTAATGCGCTTCTCCTTCCCGTTCCTGTATGACATGCCGTCCGATTACGTTACGTGCGATTTCGGTGCAAACTTTAACACAGAAGCTTTGCTGGGATGAGAGGTGACCAGTTGCATGGGGATACCTCGTTGTCCAGACATTCACGGTCTGCAGATTGCGTAAATACTTCCTCGTCGGCCCAGAAACTGAGGGGTGTCCACATCGCGAGAGCTGGGGAGGGAGCCGTTTGCCTCCTGGCTGCAATCAGTGCCCTGGTTGTACATGGAAAATAGTAGAACTGAATCTTGGGGTTACTGCGCCTTACTTCATCGTGAGAAAGTTCTGTTGCAGAAGAAATGTGACGAGTGCTGCCTGAAGGGTTATCGTGTACACCCTCATCACGAACATAGCACTCGCAACGGCCAACAGTGCCTGTTTCGAAAAAAANACTATACGGCGCCAGATCCCAGAAAACGACTTTCTTCATAGTCATCGCCGTGAAAACCTCAAAACTTACATAGTGTCTGTTTCCTTTAGATTACAACGCATTGTTTCAAACACACTTCTGTGAGCTTGTCTTCTATCTGGATATGTCTTATGGTATTCCCTCAATGTAGAGAGGAAATTACCGTCGCACTAACCGTGCACAAAAATGCATGTCTGCAAATTCCACGTAAGTAAATCTAGGCATCTTTTCCTTGTACGAATCTAAAAACCGTTCTTCATCTAAACTCCGAAACGGAGGTGAATCTGTAAATAGAAATTTTATTTACATTTTCAGCCCCAGGTAATCACCCCAACAACTTCCTTATGTGGTGCACTACAACTTTGAATCACTCTGCATTGTGATTCTAAAAACTGACAGCACTGAACACATCAGGGACACGTTGTAGCATACTTGTTTGAGGCACTATGTTACAAGATGGAAGGTCGTGTGTTCGAGTCCGATGAGGTGGGTTTCAGTTGACCTAATCCTTCCAGCCGCACTATAGCCCTGGGGTCGACTCAGCTTCTAACAGAAATGGGTATCAGAAATCTTCCTGTGGGTAAAGGGCGGCCGGCGAATAAAGCTAACAACCTTACCGCCATCTGTGAGCCGGTTATCTATAAAATGTGGAAGCCTCGACGTCTCATAACCTTATGGGCCTTCACGGCCTGTTACAGGGGTAGCTTTACCCTTTCTTTTTTTGGCTTTTACTGGACACGAATGTAAATGGCTGACAAAATTTTGTTCAGGTGGGCCATATCGCGTTTACTCGAACACGGTCTCTTACTTAACGCGGTGTTACTGATTAAGAGACAAGAGGAAACTTGAAGAAAGCAGTCTTCTGGGATTTGGCACCGTGTATATGTGGTGTTAACCGACGTTTCGGAGGAACGTATCGCCTCCATCTTCAGGGTAGAAGAAAAAA